GGTGGGGGGGGGGGAGAGAGGGCAGTGTCCAGAGACTGGGCTTCTCCATCCTCCCTGAATGGACCATCTCTTCTCTTCAGAAATCTCATTAAAACCCTTCCCCGAACAGCCTAGCCACGCAGGCTCTGGCCGAGGTCGCCCGGAGTCCTTCAGCGACAAGGCCGAGCAGCGGGCTTTTGCTCCATTTTCCTCTACAGATGAGAGGTGCTACTCTTTCTGCTTTTCTGATTATGAAATTAGTCATTTTCTAGGAAGCTTATTTATAGAGTCCGCTGCATACATGCAGCCCTGAGCTATTCTGAACGCGGCTTGGGGCCTGGGAGGCTTAAGGTGTGAAAACAGCTGTGAGTCACACATGGGTCCCCTTCCAGAGGTTTCTAGATACCTTGGTTACCTTTCTGCACCCAGCCGGGAGCCAACCCTCATGCTCCTGGTGCTCTTTACTCTAAAGAGAGAAGAGCCTCAGGATCCCAATCCCCCTGGCCACCAGCTTGATATATTACCCGGACCGAGTCAGACCCGGATTCTGTGCTCCATTTTCCTTCTCTTCTGAATGAGGGGCTTTCTGGATGTGTGATTCTGTGCCTGCTCTGGACAACAGCTGTGGAGGGGGGTTCCAGGTGGCTTCACAAAGACCTGCCCACAAGGCAGCTCAGATAATGGCCGTGTTTGAGGTTCCTGATGGCTTTTTCCAAGAAGGTCAGGGCAACATACACTTACTCAACAAGTGATTATTTACTTATTTATTGAATGCCTATGATGAGCCAGACACTGTGCAAGACTTTGAAGACACAGTGGTGAATAAAACAGAAATGGTGGCCCCTGTCCTCATATAGCTTACAGTCTAACTAATGCTAATCTCATAATGGCATAACTTAAAATGAAATTTCAAACAGTGTCAAGTTCTAGGAGTAAAAAGTACCAGGAAGTAGAGCCGGGGCAGCTCTCTAGGCAGAGAGAAAAGCATGTGCAGAGGCCCTGTGGAGAAAAGAGCCTGTCCAGTGCAGCTTAAGTGCAGAGGACAAAGGGAAAAAGAGGGTATAAAATAAGGCTGGAGGGATAAATAGGGGTCAAATCATGCAAGACCTAGTAAAGCATGTTAAAGGATTTCTGTATTTTTTCTTAGTACAATACATTAATGTATTTTTTAAAAAGAAGCTTAGATGATAAAAGGTTGAGTTTTAAAACAGTTGATTCTAGCTCAGGCCTGCCCCATCCAGTTGTGCGGATTGTAAACTGCACAAACTATGAAGCCATATGTATTGGAACCATATGGAGAATGTTTTAGGGGCCAGCTTGAATGAATGCCAGAGACCAGTTAAAAGACTGCCAAAGTAATCTAGGCAAGAGAAGCTGGCTTGGACCAAGATGTAGGTGGTGGAGAGGAAGAAAAGTGAGAGATTCAGGAGACATGTAAAGGGCCTTGAAGATAGCTGCCTTCTCTCTGCAGGAGGGCCAGGCTCTGAGATTTGAGATTCTCAGAGACCCTGCCGGTCAGAATGAGGAAAAGATAACGCAATGCCAGTTGAGAGCAGAAGAAGTCAGAATGAAAGGGGTCACCTTTAACCCTGTCTGTCTATCCTTAATTGTTTCAGATCTGCAGCTGGGCCTGAAACTGGCCTCAGGACCAGTCCAAGAGTCAGGATTGCAGAAACAGTGGGCAGAGAGGCAGCTGACCTCTTGGACTTCATGGAAGTATTATACCGGCAGTGCTGTATTAAAGTTTCTTTTGGCTGCCAATTTCAGAAATCAGTTCACACTGGCTTAAGCTAAAATGTTGGAATTTATTGGAAGGATCCTGGGGCATCTCATGGTTTTGGCAGACGTGTTGCCCACTCAAGACTCAGGATGGGCAGAGATGGAGCGGCCCCAAGGCCCGCAGCATTAGCGGTTTTTAGGACTTTCTCTCCAGGGCACTGTAGCTGCCATGATTTAGAGCCAGCACCTGCAGACTCCAGCCCCCCCCCCCCCCCCCCCCCCCCCCCCCC